GGCAACAACAGAGGCTCAGCCAGCTCCTTCTCCAGGAAAACATCCCAGGGGTAAAGTGGGTCTTCCTCTAGAATTGTGGGAATCCGGTGGTGGTGCCTGAGGAGGGAGGCCTGGGGCCAAGGGGTTGAGGTCTTACTTGTTTCCCCGGAAGAAGTAGGTCTTTCCATTGGGCATCCAGAAGAGAGCAGCATCAATCTTGTCAGTAGGCAGTCCTCGGCCCAGCTCCTTAATGTGCTTGGGGTAGCCAGGCTCCAGGGAAGCTTCATCAAACACCCAGTGCTTGTCTCCTGGGGAGGAGACAAAGGCAGGATCTGGGTCCCACTTGGATTCTAGGGTCTATGGAAGAGTCAGGTGGAATCTGCTCCTCCAGGGAGACCCTCCCCACACCCAAAGACTAAGGAAGAATGCCTGGTTACCTTTGAAGAAGACAAACTTGCCATCCTTCCTCTCGTAGGCAGTGTTGATGAATGGGGGCAGGCCCCGCCAGAACTGGCCGATGGGCATTGGGTACCCATCCATCACTTGGTTATTCCTCACCCGCCAGAACCAGCGATCCTGGGAGGCAGTCGAGGTGGGAAGAGTACATTATGTCTTGTCACTCAGTCCTCTGGCTCAGTCCCTACAGTTCCCCCACTGTCTCTGTTTTAATTTTTAGTCCTCCTGCTGCTGTTTGCACCCTGCCTCCCCAGTCATAGAGCCCTTCTGTCCCCCAAACCAGCCCATTTCTTCCTCTCACCTTGAAGACAAACATCTCCCCTCGGAGCACGGCCACAGTGTCAAAGTTTCCGTCACAGATGTTGGGCCCATAGGTGGGGTTTTTGGGCTTATCAGGGACAGAGGGCCTGGAGGTGGTCCTGGGTTGAGGGGGCATCTTGGTGGGGGACCCTGACTCACTCCCTGGGGCAGAGAACAGAGGGGCACTTCAGACTTGGTGGCAGAGGGAGAGGAAAGGACAGACATGGGCAGAGAACCCCCTTGGAAAGGTGTGGATGGACCTCTAAAGGAGGCTGAAGCAATCAGCTGGGAGAGGACAGAAAAGGTGTACTCAAAAGTGGGAGTGGATGAAGGCAGGGTCGGGAGTGGGGATGTAGGGAGACTGTAGGGCATTGGGGAAGGGAATACATGAGCAGGCCAGAGAGATGAAGAGTAGACAAGGAGCAGAGAAAAAGGAGCAGGTGGGCATAGATCACTCACCATAAAGTTGCTGGATGCCCCGGCGGTCATCATCGGGCAGCACAAAGTTCTCTGTGTCCATCCACTGGTAAAAGGGTGCCATGATGGCTGAGGGATCATTGGAATGCTCAAGGCCTAGAGCATGGCCCAGCTCGTGCACAGCCACCAGAAAGATGTCGTTTCCTGGAGGGGTAGGGAGGGTTATGAAAACAGCCTGGGTCCCTTCCCTCAGGCTCCCGGCTTTCCCACCAGAGGCTTCAGTTTCACACCCAAACCTGCTTGCCAAGTGTTCCACTCAAAAAGCTACCAGGCAACCCACAGCTCTTCTAGGTGGGAGTGATAGAGTGCTCTGAAGCTGGATCCCAATCCCAGGAGACTGTGTCAAGGGAAGCAAGGTCCTACCTGGGCCTGTTTCTCCCAGGAGTTAGAATAACATTTGTCTGGAAAAGCTGGTGATGTGGATGCTATGAAGTCTGACTGAGAAATCAGTTATTGGGCAAGAGAAGGAACCACTTATAAGCAGCTCAAAGCTGGATTCTTGCCTTTATTGGAAATCATATCTGGAGACCTTTGCGGTCCGTCGTAGCCCTGAGATTTTGGGGCATGAGGTTTTGGGAGGAAGCAGAACAACTCTGTACAAATTGCTGACTCTCCCGGAATAAGAGTCCTAGGGCTACCCGACTCACCATTCAGATCCTCATTTCGGACAGTCCAGGGCTCGGCAGAGTCAAAGTGGGTGTCCCCTCCGATGTTGGGACCTGGGAAATAGGCATGCGCGAGGAAGCCACCCTCGCCATCAAAGGGCGTGCTGTCTCCATGGAAGCCCTCAGCAAAGAAGATCATGATGTCAGCCTGCTTCTCGTGGCCCTCACGGATGTAGGCATAGGGTACCTCTCGGAAATGCAGTGGTGTGGCGCTCTCCCACACACGGAAAGCCTTGCGGATGGCCTCGAATGTGGCATACTCGCCTACCTTGGGGGTGTAATTCTGGATGCTGAGGTCCAGCCATGTGGGGATAGGATGAGAGTATGTTAGGATTACAAGGGGCAAAGTTCTCTTTCCCTGCACTCTCCCAGGTCTGGCTGAATTGCCCGGCCACCTCTGCCTGACCCATCTCTTCCTGCTGCCTCACAATGGATGCTTCTGCCCCAAGTACTGAGGGCTCAGGGGATCTTCAGGCTTTGGCTTTCTGGCCCTGGGTGTACCCCCTCCCCCCCACAGGCTGCACCTCTCTCCAAATGACAGCCATTTTCCTCCCCACTCCCAAGGACACATCCCAGGGAGAGGTGAGTACAGCAGGAGGCCTCTGAGTCTCTGTAAGCACAACTAGTAGGGAAAAGTAACCTGATGTCAGAAAGGCCACTTGCCGGTTGGACTCACCAGAAAGTAATCTCATTATGTTGCCATTTGAGGCCCTGGATGGCATAGCGCTTCCTTCGCACGTTGGCCTTGATCTCTGCCCCAAACTTGTCTGGAACACCACAGCGGGGGCGCTTCATGGCCCTGGGGTAGGTTGGGGTGTGAGGACGGGGATCAGTATAGTGTATGAAAGAGAAAGGTCTTCAGAGGACAGGGGGAATGTCTGGCCCCAGGGTCAGTGGGGGGGAAGGTCAGGGTGACTAGGAGAGAGTCAGGATTATCATGTGGGGATGAGGTATGGGGCCAAGACTCAGTCCGGTAGCAACTTCTCTGGTGCTCAGTGTTATGTCAGCGGGTGCTGGGCAGAATTCCTGCCAGGGTCTAGCACTTACTTCATGGTGTCTGCATCAGCCTTGCCTGTCACTCGCAGACCATAGAACCTCTGCATGGCAGTGATGGCAGCTGAGAGTGACTGGGGAGAGCGCTGTGTGTGGGTACGCAGGTCCCCAGGGGGCAGGTAGCCATACTGTTGCAGCCAGGCCTGTAGAGAAAGGGATGCGGCTTAGAGCACTCCCACATGGCCCAAAGGGAACCTCTTCTTCCTCATGGTACCTGGCATGAACCCTAGGCTTGGTGAGGGAAGGGCAATGAACTCCCAGCCTGGCTCTGGCAGTGGGTCTGGAGGAACTCCCAGGCTGGACCTGAACTCTGGCCCAGGCCCCAGTATGGCTTGTCCTCTTGGAGCTGTGGGCTCACACAGGGGTGGAGAGCCCAACCTCAGGACTTTGGCTGTAGCTGTCTTGAGGATGGGAGCCCTTGTGCTTTACCTGAATCCTTGGATGTCTTCCTCAGAACCAACATTCCTTCCAGCACTTTCCCCCTTTGTGTCAGCGTTCTTGTAAGTACAGCATATCCCCCGAGAATGGGTTGTGCCATGACGGGTGGAGGGGGAAGTGGCTGAGGGGCTACAGTCTTGGGCTTGGCATGAGGCCCTCAGCCTCTTCCCCCTCCACCCAGCTGAGATCTTTTTAGGAAGGAGGGCAGAAAAGGAGCTCGGGCTGAGGCTGGCTGCTGATAGGCGAAGCTGGGCCCTCTGCAGGTGTTCAGCGTGATGCAGCCAGAGCCAGGATCCTGCCAATGTCCCCATCCAAGCAGCATCTGACCTAGGGCTTGGGACCTAAATGCCCATTTAAGATTCTCAGTAGAGAGAGTGGGAGATGGGAGTGGAAGTGGAGACTTGGTGATCGTATTTTATTTCAGGTATGTTGAGAATTGTTCATAATATAAAGGCTGGCATATTGCCTTAAAGTTAGGTTTTTGGTGTTTGATTGAAAGGTACACACACCACAAAATCTTGTTGAGGAAAGAGTCAGCCTTTATTGTAAGAACAATGGAGTACTTTCCTAAAGCCTGCAAAGTAAAATGAGCCAAGTTATATATGGGATATGAAAATGCTTGGATTCTCCTATCGGGAGATAGTACCCAAATATCTGGTCCCTGTTCCAGTCTTGCCTTCTTAAGTAGTCCAGAGAAGGGCTGCAAGTTGCCTGGGATGGGAGCTTGGGGGACAGAGGGGCTGAGGATGCTGTTGTTAGGTACTGCCCCCTCCACCGCAGCCTATTAGGATGGATCTCCATGTGGCCCTGCACCTCTATGCCCAGGCCCTAGTGGTGGAACATTGCTCTTGAACAGGGGCTGGGGGTGATTCAGGAGCAGCTGACTGGGGACCTGAGCCTGCAGGGGCAAGAATTGCAACATGGTTCTGGAAAGTGATCCCCCAAGGCTGATGGAGTTAGGGCCCTAGATGTAAACAACCCAGCCTTTTCCCCAGCCAATAGGCCTGGCCAAAGTAGCCCTAGCACCACCAGGGCTCTGAGAGCCCCTCCTTAGGGGTAGAGGAGGGAGTGAAGTTTAACCTCTGGTATGCTAAGGGGAGGAGGGCAGGGTGCTCCAGGCCTGTGCTGCTCTCCCCAGCAGCTGTATGCTTGCCCTGACCTGCGCTGATTGATGCCACAGCTAGTGACTGTGGGAGACCTGCTGTGGCCTGTGAACAAATATGCAGGAAACTCCCTTTGCCCCTAGCCTCACCTGTAGGGTAGACAAACCCCAGGCTTATGAACCCTGGTAGGGGTTCAGCATTAAAGAAGGATGAGAGTGACTTACTGTGGAACTGGAAGTTAGGAGGACTGAGATCAGGCCACCTCAACCCTCAGGGAGCAAAACTGAGAGGAATTCTCCTAGGGCAAGATGACAGGAGGGTGGGCGGCAGAGAGGTGGGGAGAGTCCACAGCCAGGGGCTCTGGGATAAATTCCCTCCCTGATGAGTCTTTCAGGAGGTTGGCAGGTCTAAATATTCACACCTACAACCCCCATCCCACCTCCAATAGTTAAAAGTGGAGACTTAGTCAAAAACAGGGACTTCCCTGGAGTCAAGCGTCACAAGGCCTGGAAAGGAGGTGCCCCCGTCCCTCTCCTCCTCTCAGACCTAGGCTTTCTTCCCTCACAGGGGCAGGCTCTGAGCAAAGCAAGAACCACAGAGACTCTGAAGTGGGAACCACAGAAGAGAGGACTCTTGTGTCTGCGGCTGGGTGGGGGAAGGGCTGAGTGCCAGACAGGCCAAGGGGAAGAGAGGGCTGTCCTGGAGCTGGTGGAGGGCTATGGAGGCCTGAGGCCTGGGCCACCCCAGCTCTCCCTCCAGATTGGCCTGGAGAGGGAGCAACTAACGATATTGGGTTAAAAAATTTGGTTGGCTTTGTCTTGAAAGGTATTCTCCTAGCAGAAAGTCAAGGGAAGCAGTCCTACCTTTGGCCTAGGAGTCCTGGGGTAGGGGGCAGATCTCTGATTCTCCAGCCGGCCCTGGACGGGAGCCTCTGGGCTGGCTCCTCCCTCCCTCTGCCTCCCACCCCTCTATGGCCCAGAAACAAATGGTGGTTCTGGCACCGGGGCTGCCCATGACCCACTTAAAGCAGAGCCAGGGTTGCTGCCCCTCCCTTAGGGGGCCTAGTGGGGCAGGGAAAGGAGGAAGGCAGGGCAGGCAATGTTGGCAGTGGGCAGCCCCTCAGGCGCCCAGATTCCTTTTGTTGGGAGTGCTCCTTTCAGGCCTCAGATGAAGACTCCAGGCCTGAAAAGAGGATGCCTCCTCCTGGCCAGTGCCAGGATTAGCTGAAGGGCAGATTTTCACACTTCCTGGTCACTTCCATTCCCAGAGCTACACTTTTCATTTCAGCCTCAGATCCCTTCAGGACACAGAGAATGTGTTCTTTTTGGATATGTTTCCTGTAGGGGTGGGACCAGGGCCCCCACGAGGTCGGAGGAAGCCAAGTCCAGATCCCCTCCCCCTTTCCCGTGCCCTTCCCAGCCCCTCTTGACCGCACCCAGGCACCCAGGCCCTCGCAGGGCTGAGTGGGTTGGGATGTCCCAAAATAAGAAGCTGATCAAATCCGTCTCCCACCTTCACCTCAAAATAAAAGAGAGAGAGAGAGAGACAGAGAGGGAGAGAGAGAGAGGAAAAACCTCCTCAGACAACTCCCACGCGACTTCCTCCCCGCCCGGTGGGCCTGCGTCGGGGAATGGGGGGGCGGGGGGCGCGGGACTCAGTCGAGACCAGCGCGGGCGCTTGGGCCCAGGCCCTCTCCACATTTCCCCGTGCGACGCCCCAAATCTCCCTGCAATTAACACAGAAAAGCAATTAACAAAAACAACAAAAAGGGCGTAAAGGCGCCGACGGTGGAGGGGGCAGAGGAGGCGGCGGCGGCCCTGCAGAGCCCCCGCTAACAACGAGAGCTTTGTGTGCACGGAAAGGCGGCCAGGGCGCCAGCGCCGCGACCCTCGACGCCAGGGCTCTGGGCTGGGACCCAGAGGGGGTCCTCCTAGGGAGGCGGGGGTGAGTGGGAGCTGGGGCCAATCTGCCGTCCACCCGCGACCCCACCTGGGCGCGGATGCATGGGTGGAGGGCCCCGCAGGCGGGGAAGCCGGCAGCGGCCGCAGCGTGGGGGGCCGCGGCCGCAGTACGGTCCCCCCCGAGCCCTCCCTGTCCGCCCGGGCGCCGGCGAGCGCGGGTGAGAGTGCGCGGGAGAGCTGGAAAGTTGAAGAAACAACAAACTCTCACACATGACAAGAAATCAAGACAGCGCGGGGTCTGAGCGGAGTCCAAATATTTATCAGGCTCCCAACTGGTTCCAGAGCTGAGCTCAGAGCCCGGGGGAATTGGGGAGGGGCGGGAGTGGGCCTGGCTGTAAAGTTCTCCCAAGGAAAAGAGTGGGAAAGAAGGCGGCGGAGGGGGAGTGGGTAGGCTGGAGGAGGCAAAAAGCTGGATCGACTTGGAAGTTTGGAGATGAGGAAGGAAAGGAAAAAGAAGGGATCCTGCAGGCCGGAGCAGCCAAGACCCCGAGAGCCCTCCTCTCCGAATGGGGCTGTCCCCTTGGAGACCCCCGGGCTCGCCTCCTTGGCTGCACGACTCCGGGCAGGGCCGGAGGAACTCACTTACTTCGGGGCTGAAGCTGCTTTGGGCCGAGCTGAGGGAGGAGAGCGCGGTGGCAAGCGCGAGCAGGGGGAGCAGCAGACTGCTGGCGGGCAGTGGGGAGGGAGACATGGTCCGCGACCGTCCGGGCAGCGGGGCCGTGCAGGCTCCGCGGCGGGGCCCAAGCCCTGGGGTCGCGCCGCCACTCCCTCGGGCGCCTTTGTCTTCGGGAGGCACTGAATTTGGATTCCTAGAGCGCTGTCCACTTGGAGATGAGGCGATTGTTCTTGAAAGCGCCTATTTGCTCGTCCCCTCTTCTCAGTTTTTTGATCTTTCTTCTGCTTAGTCGGCGAACTGGATCGCGAGCCCTCTCTCGCTCTCCTCTGGTCCCTCCCTTCTCCCACAGCCTCTCCTCCGCCCCCGCCCCCAATGCCCTCCTTTCCCGGTGCGGACGTGGTTGTTTCAGCCTGAATCCAATTACAGCCAAGAAGAGCCCGGTAAAAAAAAAAAAAAAAAAAAAAAGCCTAAGTTGACTTTCTGTGGCGGAGGCTGCCATCTCCAGGGGTTGAGGCCACAGCCCAGGGGTGGAGGTGGGGGGCAGTGGAAGGACCCAGAAGACGGGATGTGGGAGACTTTCTCCCCTTAAGCATATTTTGGGTGGCTTGATTCCTCTTGTATTCAGCGTTTATCTCACCTCAGAGTGGGAAGTACTAGGAGGCTCAGTGGCTGGGGCAAACAAGTTCACAGTCTGCGATGGTGGTGAGGGGTCCTCCACATCCTGAGACCGGGGCTGGGGGGTTTGTCTGCTGGGACCTGTGACTCAACCAAATTGAACCTTTGTCCCTTATTCTTGACAACTACCTCTGTCCGTTTAAAAAAAAAAAAAAAGCAACAACAAAACCCAATTTACCACCAACTCACCCCACAACCACATTGGATTGTGTGTGTGTGTGGGTCCCATCCTTATAGAAAGACAAATGTGCTACTTATTATGCCATTTTCAATCTGGCTGCTCCTTAGATTAGAACTGGCTGGGGAGGAAAGGGGTGCAAGGCCACGGAATCTGGGGAAAGGCAAATCAAGTTTGGTAAAATTGTTAGAAGAGATTAAAAGTAGGGTTTACTTCCCTACACTGGAAAAGAGGCAGTTCCTTAAAGGGTAAAAACTCCTTTCGGGACTATGGACTTAGTCTCTGAGAACAAAAGGTGGAGGTATGCACGGAATGGGGAGGGCAGGCTAAAGCCGAGGTTGGGAAAGGGAGAGATAAGAGGTTGAGAACTAGATCTGGAAAAGCAGCACAACACAAGCAGGAAAAGTGTGGGAGACAGAAAACTCGACCATCAGCGAAATCTAAGACCCAAGAATTGCATTGGTCAGCAAGAGAGGAAGGAGGTATTGGGGGAAGAAGGGAGGGAAGGAAAGCAAGGGAAGGAATAATGGAGGCCGGACAGAAATTAGGTCAGGTAGGATGCTCCAGAAATCCTAGAGATCCAGGCACTAAACCAAGTTTGTGCAGAATGGGAAAAAAGTCCAGGGCTCTGTATTGTAATGGGAGCAAAGGTCCTTTCCCCACAGAATCCATGGAAGGAGCCATGATCAATAAAATGTAAGGTTTCCCTGGGTCTTGGGGACAGCGAATAGGTTTGTGGGAGGTATATGGGGGATACCTATCCTACAGCGACTGTTTGGGGACTGAGCACCTCCAGGGCTCCCTACACAAAGTGGGGTCAGGAGGGCAGCCCTCTCTCCAACCAACCTCTGGAATTCAAACAGAACCACAGAAACCTCAGGACCCAAATCTTTAGAACATCCAACACCCAAGTCTGGTTCTTCCCATGTCAGTTTCCCAGTGGGGTATCCTCTTGGGCCATATATCTAGTTAGAAAAACTGACACCAGTTGCTTGCCAAGAAATAGACCTCAGCTGGAAAGTTTTTCATCAAAACATTTATTAAATGTGTAACTGCACATGGATTGAGCACTGTATACGCTTTTCAAGGCTTGAGTGCCTGCCTAAGCCCAAGAAAACTGCTACCCCTTTTTCACATTTGCATAGTAGCTACTGCTCATTTTGGGGCCAGTCCTATAACTTGCAAAGGAGGGGGTAAGATTACCTGAGCAAGATTATCCTGAACTAGAACGGGGCCAGGGGTGAGGGCACTGCCAACCCTTCTAGGCAGTGATCTTATAGCCTGTTTTTGGTGTCCAAGATCTTTTGCTCTGAAGATAGTTGGGAATAAAGAGGCTCTCCTCTGGCTGGGATGAGGCATTTAGGTGATAGAAAAGAAGGCCAGAGAGAGGCAGGGTAAGGGAGACAGGAATTGCTTTTTATTGACTTGGTAGTGCAGTCCCTTTAGGTTTAAGAGCATTTTTCTGCTTCCTTTCTTCTTCCTGCAACTTCTCCTGCTGCCTGAGCTGCCATGCCTGTAATCCAGCATCCATTTCCTGTGACAGCAGTACAACTCGTCTCTGAAACAGACAGGAAAACAGTGTGGATAACATCTGGGGCTTGAGTTCTGCACCATATATCCTTTCACTCACAGATCAAAGTCGGAGGTTTCAGCTGAAAAGTGACACTGCTGACTGGGAAGGGGTGGGACCAGGACCTGGGTTAGAAGCAGGAGGAAGGCAGTAAAATGTGTGGCAGAATATCTACTATTGGTTCCTGCCCTAGGAGTGCCCCACTCTATCCCCCGCTTCTCACAATACTGTTAAAACCTTGGAATCAGGGGTACATGTTAGCTCAGGTGTCTACACAGCTCAAGACAAATTACGATTTAAACTTTCTTCCTCTGATTACATGCAGGTTGCCCCGGCTGGGGCTCTAGCCACTCACTGCAAACTTCTCCCTTTGGGCTTTTCTTCGAAGCTGGCCTTTCATTGGAGGAGCAGGGCGGCCATCTGCAGACAGAAGTGAGAGAAAAGGCAAGTATTAGACATGATCTGTAGCACCTTGTGAAAGCACTGACAGGAATGAGGGAAGAACCAATCTCTAGCTCCTCTCTTCCATTTCATACCCACTGTGGCTTAATTCTCCTAAAACATGTACCTCATCTTCAAGGTCAAGTATGCCAGAATTACCAAGAATAAGTTCCTAGGCATGTTCCTACTCTATTTCACTTACCCCTCATTAGCCTGGAATTCAAAGTCCTTTGCAATGCCGAATCTCCTGTCTTCAGAAACCTTCCACTCAAGCAATCTATCACTATTCTACTCAAAGGAGTTTTTGCTAAATTCCATCTTATTCCATAATGAGACAAATGCCTCTTTCCTTTCCTTCCAGCCAAATTCTCATCCTTAGGCCCACCCCAAGCCCTACCTGTCCCAGAAACCCTTCTCTAACCTCTTCAAGTCTCTCTTATGAAAGATATACATATCAATCATTTAATTATCATCTAAATAGATGGGACATTTATTGTACTATTGTTTGTAGCCTTATTTAGCCATCTCAAATCCTTCTGAAAAGGGGCAGAGCGCTCACTGAATATTATTATTATTTTATTTTTAAAAAGATTTTATTGGGGGAATTGGGGGAGGGAAACAGAGTTGGGGAATAGGGAAAGGGGAACAGACAATTTGCTGTTCCCTTGTTCTTCAGTCTGGTTGTGGAGGATGTCGCTTCACTGGCCCATGTTGGTATTGTGATCATTGCGCTCTTCCCGGGTGAGGCAGTCGCTTGCCGGCCATTGGACGGCCGCTCACAGTGGCTCATGGCAGCTCACACCCGCTGCCGGCTGGCCCCATTGCAGCCTATGCCGTTGCCGGCTGACCCCATTGCAGCCTATGCCCCCATTGCAGCCTATGCCGTTGCCGGCGACTCGTGGCAGCCCAGCTCCAGGTCAAGCTGTTGTTCACCATCTCAGCTGCAGAGGGCGCAGCGTCACTGGACCTCATATGGGATCTGAACTGGGGCCCTGCTGCCCAGAGCTGGCGTCCCAAGCCAACTCTTAACCAACGCGCCACTCGGCCGGCCCTATCATTTAATTTTTAAAATGTCCATACTTAATTTCCCCAAGTAGACTTTAAGTTCCTTGTGATCAGGGACTGTATCGCTAGATTTCACTGTAGTGTAAGCACATAGGCACATAATAAAAATTTCATAAATATCTGTGGAGTTGCTAAAAAGATGCAGTATCTCAAGTAGTTTATAATGGAGATGAAGAGAAAGGACATGTTCAACAAAGAAAGAAACAGAAAGAAAACTCTGCCCAAAAGTTTGAAGGCAAGACAGGTAAGAGATATTATTTATCAGTAAAGAGAACCAATATTGTCTGTGAGGTGCTTTACATTAGTTGTTTCATTTTATCCTTACAAGAACCCTATGAAATAGGTATTCTTCTTTAACAGATGTTAAATGGAATGTTAATGGAAACTGAGATACAATTAAGTAATTTGTCTAAGACCCACAAAATTAGCAAGGAGAGAAGCCTGGATTAAGAATCAATTCCAGGATGGTGGGCTATGCTCACCCGCAACTAAGATTGAACACAGCACCTTGAGCTGAGCTGCCCTGAGCTGCTGACAGGCGGCCGGATGGCTCAGTGGTTAGAGCGTGCGCTCTTAGCAACAAGGTTTCTGGTTGGACTCCTGCATGGGATGGTGGGCTATGCCCACCTGCAACTAAGACTGAACAGTACACACTGAGCTAAGCAGCTGCGAGCTGCTGAAGGGCGGTCAGATGGCAATTGGACTCGGAGCTGAGCTAGCTGCGCCCTCCACAACTAAGACTGAAGGACAACAACTTGTCCTTCCCCAATTCCCCAACACCGTTCCCCTTCCCCAATAAAATCTTAAAAAAAAAAAAAAGATTCCCTAAAAAAAAAAAAAAAAAAGAATCAATTCCAGGGCAGCAGGTTAGCTCAGGTGGTTACAGCGCAGGCTCATACCACCAAGGTTGCTGCTTCGATTCCTACATGGGCCAGGGAGTTGCTCCCTCCACAACTAGATTGAAGACAACTACTTGACTTGGAACTAATGGGTCCTGGAAAAACACACTGTTTCCTAATAAAACTTCTTTTTTAAAAAAAGAATCAATTCCAGCGTCTTTCCAATATTCCACACTACTTCAGGGAGATCCTAGGCTTCCTACAGTAAATAACAAGTAGAAAAAAATCTTCACTGTATTCCTCGGCCACCAAGTATCTGATTAAACAGGACCATACTCCTACAAAACCCACAAGGGTATTAACACTCAGGTCTCTGTGCTGTTGAAGCAGGTCAGGCCTCTGCCCAGTTCTAGTCCTGGCTTTGCTATTACTTAGTGGGTGATCACAGGCAATTCACTTACTTTTGTAGACCTCAATTTTCCCACCTGGAGTTCCTCAGAGGGGTGTGGGTTGTCACTTCAACTTTTCTAACATACCTTCCTCCTAGGGCGTATGTTTCGTTTGTTTGTTTTAAAGGAAAAGGCTTTTCTAGAGGGAGCCCACCATCCTCAGTCCTCACTTTTCTATCCTCTCTGAGAATTCATTTAGACAGCCTCTCAAGGAGCTCTCCCTGCATTTGGTACCAAATCTCAAATAATGTACTCACCACAATGAAAGGCGGTGCTTCCCAACTTTTTAAGAACCACATCCCCTTTGGGAAACACAGAAATTTTGCCACTGCCTTCTCAGGGGGCATCCCAAGTCAGAATTACTTTTGCTTATCTGCACAACCCAGAAAGATCCTGTACAGCTTTATTTTCTATCCTCGCAGTTTAATTTACAAAATAAATAATAGGGCTTCTTTACCCCACCTACAAATATAAAGTTCAACTCGTTGTCCACTCAGACATACTCTCCACCTTGACACCCTCCCCCGCCCTACACACCCGCCCTGTCCAGGGGCGTTTTCTCTGGATGAAACTCTCCAAAGCAGAGTTTACTGTCACATCAGCACTCACCCGCGTAAGACCAGTCTGGGAGCTCCGTAAGGGGCCCATAGCCGGAGGGGCTGGCAGCCAGGCCCTGCCTGGGTGGAGAATAGTCTGGTTAGGACTCAGCGCAGCTTCTGGTACCCCCAGCTTCCCCCAAACCCGCACTCACTGGAGTCTCCACTGGCTGCCCGCCCGAACTGCCGCGCTGCAGTGCAGCCTCCTGACACCTGCTGGGAAAACAGGGCAGAGTTGGGAGAGAGGCCGTGCACCCAGCTCAGGAGTTCCAGGCCCGCCCCCATGAGCTACCGAGCCTATGGACCCCTATACCCACTTACTAGAGAGCAAAGTACCTAAAGCAGCCATGCTGAAGCCAAGAAGCCGGAAGTGGGCGTGGCCTCGGTGGCCACGCACGACGCTGCGGGGGAAGCAGGAAGCCGCCATCTTGATCTAGTTTTCAGTCACGGGCCCCGCCATCTTGGGTCATTGTACGGAAGAGAGGGACAAAACTGCGGCTGGGTTTCTTGGACGAAAACGGTCGTTTTGCGTATGCATCCTCAGTAGTGGTTGCATCCTCAATGAAAGTCGTGTTCTCCCAGACTGAACCGTTCTGAACTGTTTCCACGACCTCCCTGTAGCGATCTCTAGTCCTTTGAAATTTATCCTAACATACACATTACCTGATTCTATCTTCTGCATCACTGTAACATATTTTTCCTAGCCTAAGTCAAACCTAGAGTGAATCAGAAAGTTTGGGTTTTAGTTCTCATTCATTTATTCAACAGGGCCGGCCGAGTGGCTCAGTTGGTTAAGAGCTCGCTCAAGAATGCAAGCTCTGAGCATCACTGTCATCAGTTCGATTCATGGCCGGAGCTGAGCTGCCACTGAGCTGCCAACAGGTGACAGGATGGCTCAGCTTAAAAAAAAAAAAAAAGTAAGTTACATTTATCCAACAAAATCAAAGAACTTCTATGACAAGCACTATATTTGGCGCAGGAGATTCTGTGGAGAGCCAGACATCATTATTCTGATAGAGCTTCCAATCTAGAGAGAGAAGACAATAATCAAATAACTACACATTATTTACTGTATTACAGATGAGATGAGAGTTGGGAAGGGAAGTATGAGTTGTTTGTGCGTATATAATGGGAACTTGATCTAGAGTAGGCTGTCAAAGAAGGCTTTCTTGAGGAAGAAGTACTGGAACTAAGATCTGATTCCATTTTTATAAGAGCTACCACCACACATTGTCTAATATAATCTTTGTAAGAACCTTGTGAGAAAGGTACTTGTAGGTGGCAAACCCATATCTGTGACTCCTTCCCTCTTCTTTTTTTTTAATCACGTACGTGCCTTGGGGAAGTCATTTATCCTTATTTTCTTCATTTAAAAAAACCTTAAAACATCACATTTATGTAAACATTTTAAAGAATGATAAGGTAAGTGAAAGTGCTTTATAAATGGTGAAGCTTCTACAAAAGGGCCTATTACTGTGTGCTAGGCTAGACACTTAAACATGTGCTGACTGGGGGAACCTGAGGGAGTGGTATAATGGTCTATATGGAAGTTTATCATTTCCTTCTGCAAGACTGGGAAGTTTTTCCACAGGAGGTGGCTCTGAGCTGTGCTTTGAAAGAGGGGAAGGGTGGATCCTAGTGTAAGAAGTAAAACCAGAAGAAGGCATGGGAACAAAAGAACCTTGGCTATAAGCCAACAGATGCATCCAAAAAACTAAGCAAGGGAAATAAGACAATAGAGTACCATTATCATCTGACATTCATACAGTTCATTTTCACTTATCAAAACACTTCTATATAAATGATTTCATACAATTTTCATAATAAACCTGTAAAGTAGATAAGACAGTCCAGGAAGTAATCATTGTACAGATTGCTTGTAGTTTTTCAGAGATCAGGAAATTGAACCAAAATGTGGTCGTGGATTTATTGTTTTACAGTTTCAGTAACAACTGAGCGACACCTTCCCCAAGCTGGGCTCCATGTGCCTTTGGCTGGTTCCAAGATAGACAGCTGAGGCAGACAGCACTGGAATCTCATTACATAGTTTACAGTTAAGGAATCAAGTAGTAGAAGCCAAGGGCTAGAAAAATAACCTCAGTGTCAACATTCAAGATTGAAGGAAAGATGACAGGCTGGCACTACCACCAATGCTATATCGTTATAGTGTTTATAGAATTGAACCAGTAACACTCCTCGATTCTAGTAGCTCACACTAGGGCAGCAGTTCTCAACCTGTGGGTTGCGACCCCTTTGAGGGTCGAACAACCCTTTCACAGGGGTCGCCTAAGACCATCGGAAAACAAAAAGATATTTACATTACGATTCATAACAGTAGCAAAATTACAGTTATAGAGTAGCAACGAAAATAATTTTATGATTGGGGGTCACTTACAACATGAGGAACTGTATTAAGGGGTCACGGCATTAGGAAGGTTGAGAACCGCTGCACTAGGGGGACACCATTGATTTGCAAAATCATAAAAAAGGACACATGCATTAAAGTGAACAAAATAATGTGGACAATGTGAACCCTACATGCAAGAGTGAACATGTGCAATAATTTAATAGCTGTGGGAGTCAAGGAGCTAGAGCTGGAGAACTTCAGGGGCAGGATGGGAAGTTTGACTTGGAAAACTGTGAAATGTGGGAGGGGAAAGGTCTTTGGAAAAAAGACAAGTTCAGCCTTTGACGTGGTTAGTTTGACGTGGCAAGGGGACAATCCATGGGTTGTAGAAAATATGGGTTAGGATTTTGAGAGAGAGGGAGAGAGAGAACACTAGTGCTGACAGCTGACATCATCAGCATTCTCAGGGACCTCGTGGAACACTTGCAGGGGAGGGGTCTGGTACTTGTGCAGCACTCCCCAATGACTTCATCAGACTCATAAGCCACAGGAAAGTGGCTTCAGCAATCCAAACTAGATATCTTTCAACTTCTGGAGCTTATCTGGCAAAGGCTGGAGTTAAGAGCAACAGGAAGCAGCAGGAACCTGAGCTTAATGTCTTCCCTCACTTTAATTCCTTTGCCTCTCAGGGGCATCGTGGCCTGTATTTGGCTTATCCACTCATGTTTTTGTCCAATATGTTTATTCAAATATCCTTCTGTCAGGTCTGTGTACAGTAATTTTTGTACAAGTGCACTGCTGTAGGAAATTAGGTGCTTTTTAACCATTGTGATGAATAAATGATGTTGGAGAAGAGCGTAAGTAAAGCTAACTCTAGGTTGCCAATTCCACATCATTTTGTATCCTCTTTCCCTTTTTGCGTGCTTGTGACCAAATTTTAAGGTTGAAGAAGAGGGAACTAATTTGGGAAGTGTCTTATTTCATATTGTCTTCCTCCTTGGGACAGACAGCTCAAGATGAGATCACTGTCACCCCCACAAAGAAGTATGGGAACTGACGGCTGGCTATAAACCACCCACTCACACAATACATTGCTTTGCATATTATTTTCTTATTACTTACATAATTTATTGTAACATATTCCCTTTCTTTTCCCATGGCTGTCAAATCCCTGCTAAATCAGTACAGGTTAAATGACCCAGCTTCAAGATGGGTAAATTATGGCCTCCGGCTACACTCTTTTTACTTGCCTGACAGCTGGGACGTCTCTTAAGCTGTGTGTCTGTCCACCAGACTGGTCTTGAAGGTAGGTGGCTCTCTGAATTTCTGCAGAGTGGCAATGTTGGCTTTAAAAAAAGCTGGACGGTCCAAAAGGTATACAAAAAGAAACTGTATTATTTGCAAGTTATCTTTTAGCCTTAAAACGTGGTGAAGCATTTTCAGATCCCTTTTCTTGAACTAGCCCAGCAAATCCCTCTTTTGTTGTGTCCACACTGCCACTAAGACTCTTCAGATGAAAGGTGCTTTGGTGAGTCCAGCTTCCCAGGCACCCTCAGCCCGGACATTTTTTGTTAAGTGCTGCCTCCTGGCGGCGGCTCTACTGCCCGACACCTTCCCGGCCTGTTGGAGACCACTGTCTATAATTTGGGATCTGGAAGCTGATGCAACAACTCCCCCGAAGGGGCGGGGAGTTGAGAACCGGGTAGAGGAGACGCCCTTCCGGGAGACCCCTCCCATGGCTCCAATCGGGCGCGGCTCCCACTCCCTTTCTCTACAGGGCTCTGCAGTTCAGGGTCCCTCCAGAGTTTCAGCCGAGCGTCTCGGGGCTGGAGGTGGGGTTGCCAGGGTTTGGCGCTCTCGTCCAGACCCCCGTCGGGTTGCCAGTTCGGGTTGGGTTAAGGGGGAGGGAAAAGGGAGCTGAGCGTTCCCGGTGCGGAGGACGCGTCGAAGGGTGCTCACGGTCATTTTCAAGAGCGTAGCTGTGCCTTAGCGAGCAGACGGCCGGGGAGAGGGTTGCGGGGTCTCTCGGTTCTCCGCCCTTTGCCCCCTTCGCCTACACCCATAGCCCCCCTCTTCTAGCGCTTCCTGGAGCCCGGGAGGGGCGGAGGCTGCTTGGCCAGGTGGAGGGCACGGATGGGACGCCGGGTGGAGTGGGGTCCTTTGTCCCCCAAAGCAGTACCCGGTCCGGCCTTCGCAGTTGGACCTGGACTTGAGGAAAGACCGAGCTCTTCAGTGGGGCATTGAGGGCGGGCGGTGGTAGGGTCGGGGTTTGGGAAGGCGAGATCTTAGGGTCGTATACACGGAACCGGGAGCCAAGAGAAGGAGACGGCGGGAGTGACGTGAAGGGGCCGAGCCCCGGGAAAGCAAGACTAGGTGGGGGAGAGTGGCAAAGGTGAAGCGCGGCACGCCGGCTGGGCGGGGGCGGTGAGGGTGTGGGGAAGGGTCGAGGAACGACCGGAAGGGCAGAGAGAGCTGAGGGCGGGATTGCCGAGAGGGGCTCTGGGAACAGTTAACGCTTAAGGGTTTGCGATTCCACTCTTTTCGAACCCACCTTCCTTTGCGTGAACCTGAGCGCTTGCCTCCCTCCACCTTCTCTGCCCTTCCACCGCTTCGCTGCCGTCGTGTTTTGCTCTTGCCGCATCCAGACAGGTCCCGGAGCCTGGGTGTGGGACCGAGCACCGAGAGCTTCCCGGATTCAGGAGAGCAGAAAGCGTGTTAGATGAGGGCCTTTTTGTTTTTGTTTTCCCGTTAATGAAACAAAAAGTTTCAAACCATTTTGGGCCTCCCAGTAAAAATGAAAATTATACCCTTCCCTTCAACCTATTACTATCAAAAAGAATAAATACCTCCAAATACTCCTTGCTTAGGAGCCAGAGCATCAACAACATAGGTTGGCCTGAAGGGCAAGTTTAAGGACATTCCCAGAGCCTAGCCAGCTGGGAAATCAGTCTAGGGGGAACAGCATTTATTCATTTATTCTTCCAGCAAATATTGTCTACAAAAAATTGCCCTCTACTGGGGATAGGAGTGAATAAAGCTCTGGTATTGCTTGCATT